AAACTGTAACCATTAGCATCAATTAAAATTCTCTGAACGAGGCCATTCAGCGTAGAATGAATTTCGCGGTAATAAATGATTGTGCGAAACGCATTACTGGTCAACTTCTCATCGATCTTTCGTTCGATTATAAACTGTCACCAATTGCGAAGTTCACGATCGATCCCTTCCTGAACCTCGTGTACTGTAAATGCAACGTTCGGAATTGCTTTCGGAAAATCCAACATAAATTTCCAATGTCAATGCTAACAAACTCGTCCTAAATGTCGTCATAAACACGATGAGCCATTCGAACAATCCCGCCCATCAACGAAAAAAATCCGCAAAGTGCTGTCCGGCTACGACTCTTCCGCATCACAAGTATTTTCGATATCGTGTTTAAAAATACGATTGAAGTAACGAGCTTTACGATTTTCCCATCCTTCAATCGAGAAAAGAAAACCGTTAACTGCAATTTGAACGCGATTCTAAAGCGAGCAAACAAAAGCCTTTTTTAGGTTATACGTCTACATCTTCCTTATATCTATTCTTAAGGCTTAAACGAATTTCCTCGACCTCAACGTACATAGTGGACGATGATGATTGCGTGAGCCGGGTGAAAAGTGCCTCTTTAGAAAACACAAGTATCTTGGTCCCCAGAGATCGTCAGAGAGATGTTAATCATATCGACAGAAGGATCGATAAAACGGTAACGTATTATCCCCTTCGTATCATTCAAGATCAATCGTCTAATTGTAATTTTCACTGTTTCACGCGTATTCTTAGACTTCTAATACAGGATTTAGTGGTAGAAAATTTTGGAATTGTCATACAAGACCGACAAACGTCTTCGTGCCGGAGAATTCCGTAATTCAAGAGGGTAATTATATTTATGATCCTAATTATTTGCACGTGAAACGAACAAAGAAGTCTTCTATCTTTCGACACGTATATAACTTTATAGTTACGTGTATTCTCATAATTTTTTCCTCTCTTTTTTTTCTTCGAACGACCGTGATTATGCGTTTGATCGATTAAAAAAAAAAAAAAAACGTGATTAAAACGTGATTACATCGTTCGACACGATCCCACATTTTATTAATCACGGATTAATTGTTCATTGGCGGACATTGGACGGCCTCTCGAAGCGGAGAACAAGTTTCTATTTACTCGAGATCGAATCTTTCCGCCTAACTTCTGACTAATTCTGATCGATTAATACTGATTGGCGCAGAAAGCGAGTTGATCGGCGCGTTGACGAAACAAATATACAAGGTTGAGTCTCAAATGCAAAAGGCGCAATCCGATTTAAAGAGGAGCGAAGAGCAGATAAGATTGAAGGATCAGGAAATTTACAAGATGAAACGAAAGGTTCGACACATTTATTTCATTTTGTCTCGTCTCTCGTCGCGATTCTCCTCGTCCACTGCGATCGAAATTTCAAATTCCTTACAGATCAAGGACTGGGAAATCAAGAACAAGAACCAGGAGAGTTTGCGAAAGAAGGAGCAGCAACAGCAACGAGTTCAAGCCGACCAGTCGGAATATCTCTACAGAAGGTGTCTGATGCTCGAGCAGAGGATCTTCGAGATGGAGGTTAATTATAATAAGCGGTTAATTATAATTCAGAAAGAATTGGAAAATCTTAGAATAGCGGGAAAAATTTCGAAAATTCGAAAAACTTTTTTGAAAGAGAAAGTATGATTTATCTCGCACAATCATAGTAAATTTTATATTCGTATTTCGCAGAAATTCTTGGCCGATTATGGTCTGATCTGGGTTGGCAACTCAACGAACTCCCCGAAGTATCCTGAAACGATCCTCAAGTAAATCGAGTATACGTTACTATTTCAATCCATCGACATCCGATCGAATTAATGATCAGTTAACCGTGCCTTTTAGCAACACCATCGAGACGTATTACGACCAGATTATCGCAAACATCGACCAGCTGAACCTGGCCGCTGGGAAGGGTGAAGTTCACGTGCAACATAACGAAAGAGGGAACGGAGCCTCGTTCAAAGTAAATTTTCCTTCATACTTTCGATTCTTTTTCCCCCTTCCTCCTCTCTCTTTCTCTCTCTCTGTAACTTTTTTCGAAAATATGCAATTTATCATGATTTACGATATGAAAAAATAATTATTTTTAATTTGTTTGTCGAATGTTACGAGATGATCGGTAGATTGATCGTTGCATGCTCTGATGAAACATTGCGTTACGTAATCAGAGGTTTTCTTCATCCACATTGGGCGTTAATGGCCGCGTTACATCGTGATATTCGCACTTGTATCAACGAGGTATATCAATTTTCACTGTCGATCGTTTGGCATGGGTGTATTCAAATGTTGACAGTTGACGTTAATCGAAGAAACCGGTTACGAGTGACAATGACGAGTTACGAGCACGTGTTACGGAGAAAATATATAGTCGTGGCACAATTCTAGCCGTTAATTGAGTCGTGGTTTTTTTTCTCTCTCTTAATTGTTTGTTTTTTTTTTACATATATATAAAATAAGCAATTAAAAGTTAACAAAGTTAACATCAAGGCGGATTATTAAAGCGTTGTTTAATAATTGTTTGAAGACTCCCTCTTGCATGTCGTTAAAATTCTACAAAAATGGAATGATAGTTCAAGACGGCCCATTACGATCTTACGAGGATCCAGCCACGACGTCATTTCTTAAGGATATCTTGGACGGCTATTTCCCTTCCGAGCTGCAAGAGGCTTATCCAGAGGGCGTACCTTTTAAGGTGAAACATCAATTTTTATATTGTGATGAAAGGAGGGGAAAGGGAAATATTGTTTTGCTCATATATTTCGTTATTAGGTGGAAGATCACAGGAGCCAATTGTTCTTGAACACGTCCGAGTTTCCTGGCCAAGGTTATCGATTGGGAAAAGAGAGCCTTGCCAATAACACGATCATCTCTAGATCTCGTAGACCTCCTACCGTTAACCAGAGAATGGCTCGTCGTGGCGCCCCCTCCAGAGATAATCTGACTAATTTCGATCCCAACGCGCAACTTTTGTCCCCCACAGCCAGGTACCAACAATTAAATTCAATAACACAATTTCGATCGTGATCGATGACGAACTTTGAAACTCATTAGCAAGTCCCAGAAAGCGAAAAGTCCCTCGGAAGGCCCCCCGTTGGAAATGTACGTTCTACGTTCCCAGATTTTAGCGTCTCACAACAATATCTGTTCCGATACCCACTTACAATCCCATATCAATGCAGAGTTGGGTTTGAGCACTCGAAAAGATAAAGTAAAGTTTTGTTAATACGATGTTAATATCAATGGAAAAGTAATATTTAATCTTTTAACGTGTTTGCGTGATATTTATGAATGTTTGTTTCACAAGCGTGAGCCGAATAATAGAAACGGAGAATACGATCCGACGACTCGTGAAAGTGGTGCAAAGTCTAAAGGTGTTATGAGATTTCCAAGTTCTGGTAGATGTTATCACAGCTCCTCCGATAGATCGTCCAAATTATCACCCAAGTAAATCCTGATTAAATCGCGATTAAATTTCTTAGATATCCGTTTATTATTATATCGTTATTGCTTCAGTCGATTGGATGGCGACGATCGATTCAGGCAGCGATCGAGATCTGCAAGTTTACCAAACTCTAGATTTTCTATTAATTCGAGGTCAACACCGAGAGCGAATATTGATGTTAAACAGTATGCAACTCCTCAAATCCAGTCTGGTGTAACGAGGAAGAGTCAACGTTCGACAAGATCCGCTGTACCAGTCAGAAAGAATGCAGTAAGGAAGAGAGAAAGAATATAATTTTTTTTTTTCGAAACGATATAACTATATTTTATGAGAAATATAATATTTTTTTCTTTCTTTTTTTTTTTTCTCCGACATTTCAGCCTCCGATTTTACATCAGATCAATGAGCCATCGGGAAAAACAGGCGAGCTCCGATTGAAAGTCAGATCTCTGAATGGCGGTACTGTCTATTTGGTGCATGTATCTGCCGATGAACCAATAGCTCGACTTTATCAGTTGTTAGATAAGGCTATGTCAAGAACTGTTCCTCGAGGATACAAAATTGTTCTCAGCGGGTAAAAATTCGTTCACGATTCGTTTATTATATCAAAATTTCATTATTTTCTTTAATATTCATCAAAAATTTAATTGATGAAATATCTGTATTTATCTTTTTTATTCTCAGATATTCACCAAGAAGATTGGAACAATTAGGAATAACTTTAAGAGAAATTGGTATTACTAGGGATAGCGTTTTGCATTTAGTGAACGATTAAATATCAAAAGTATATCTAACGAATCTCCGAATTTATGTTGTTTAAGAAAAAAAAAAAAAAAAAAAAAAAAAAAAAAAAATATTGTAAAAATATTATATTTATGGAAAATATACACATTATATATTTACGAAATTTTATCGTTCTACGATAAAAAATTGCAGCTTTGAAATCTTAGTTTACTATGGTTGATAATGGAACTACTTGATAATTTCACAGATGAGATAGAAAATTTTTCTTTTACATATTTAAAGAACAATTTGATTTTCTTGCTATTTTATAATTTTTTAGTTCATATTCGATAATTTATATTTGAACAGTTAATTGCATACTTTAGAAGTTTTTTCAAATAAAATTACACATATCGAATGAATAGATTTGATAAATAAATGTTCAATAAGGGTGATTTTCAAAATTTTTTTCTATTCCCCTTATTATCAAACTTTTTTTATTTAAATCATCTCACGATAAAATGCTTTGGATCAAAACTATCATATAATAGAATATATAATATATATATTGAAGATTAGGATTAATTATATATGCTTATATATAAATAGTTTAAAAAAAAAACTGATGAAAGCGTTTTAATTAACGTCCCGTATGCCGACTGTAGTCACGTATCAAAAATAAATGATAGACAAGGATAGATAAATAGTGCGAGAAGGATAAGAGATAGGTTAAAAATTGTACATTCAGCGCCATCTGTGTGCCGCAAAGTAAACTACAACTAAACAAGGAAAGAGAATAATAGAGAAAGATGGAGATAAACATAGCTTGATTGGTGGTGCCATCTGGCGAGCACTGAAAATATTACTTTAAAATCGGAAAGATAGAGTAAGAATTAGGAAATGGCGCCATCTCGCGAGCACCGAATATATTTTAAAATCGAAAAGCTAGAGTAAGAATTAAAGACTGGCGCCATCTCTTGAGTAATCTTGGAACGATAAATTTTTCATCGTCACGAGATGGCGCTAGTTGTTACTTTGTACCATATATCTATCCTTTTCTACTATTTTCTCTCTTTCTCTAGAAGAGTTTCATTTGCGGCACTCTAGAGATGGCGCTGATTTCATAATTTTTATCCTATCTCTGTCCTTCTCTTACTATTCCTCTCTTTGTCACACTTACTATTTTATACGCTTAAGAAATTCCAATATTATTATTTTATCCTTTCTTTAGCTTATTGACTAGAAATTTTAACGAAGCTTATTCGATCTAATTTTTATATATCGTAAGTATATATATCATTATAATAATTATGTATTATATAATTATATGTTGTATAAATTAAAAAAATAATTTCAGATAAGATCTATATATAAAATAAATATATAAAATAGATATATACGTAAGTAATCATGGAAATGAGAAACATTTTTTTTTTTTTTTTGATATTAATATCTCACAATGTGTGATACAAGTCCTATAAAATGTTTTATCTCATCTGTGATATTAATCTTTGAATCTTAGGGTTGATAATTATTGATTATGCACTTCTTGAGATGCTAGGTAAATGCTTTTGCAATAATGACCACAAATTCTTATCCTTTATCATTATGAAGACAATTTTTATGACCTTAAGGATAATAACTCACGTAATTTAAATTCCTTCTATCGATCCTTTTTAATAGCTATAAAGAGAAAAATGCTTTAACAATATAAGATTGCATAATTTTTCAATTTTAAGATAGATTAAACGATCCATCTCGTAATGACTTGAAAATTTTTGAACAATTTAAAGATTTTTAAAAAATTAATTTTAGTTTAAAATTTGTAAAGAATTTAATATTGATTAATTTTTTTTTCCTATGTTCATTATTTTTTTCTGTAATATAAGAATTTAATACTTGTAATATTTTTGTTTTACTAATTTTAAATTATTTTTTCAGTTCCTTCCATAATGAAAATGGATAAATTATACTGTCTCGCAGAAATATCTACGACAGATATTTTTCACATTTGGAAAGAAAGATTATGTGTAATTTATATGGATAAATATAGAGGCTAAAGTTTGATTTTTAAAGATATAATTGAATTACTTACATTTTCCTTTTTAATTTTTAGAAAATTCGAAATAATTGTTTACATCAAGACTTACTATCAAAATGTCTTTCACGTTACAAAATTTAAACGTAAATTCCTCGAGCGTTTAGTCAATATAAAAGAGTGAATTTACTTCGATTCGCAACAGGGAGCTTTAAGGAAGCACCGACTGTTCGTGACGTTGATGTCTCATTACTAGTTTTCGACGGAATCTTTAGAAATATATCGATGGTTCCACCTTCGTTACTCGAGAAACGCACCAATAATGGATTATTCAACTGAATTGTAAACTTTCCTGTACATTTGTGATATAAGAAAATTTTCAGTCGTTGCCCGACAAGCAAATTGTGTCTAACGAACGTTAAAATGTTCATAGAAATTTGAATTAAGATGATGAATTTGTTGCTGCTTCAGAAATTGTTCGAAAAAGAGACAAATATTTTGAAATTGCTATGAAATACTTTAATGGTTTTAATTTATTCGCAAATCATTTGGTTTCAAAATAAAAAAAATGATATGCAAAGATATGGACTGAAGTTTATTTATTAAATTATGAATAATTGAAGTTTGCATTGGACGAAATGAAAAGTAAGTAGAATAAGATTATTCTATCTATATTACATCTTCATCGCATTTTTTTTTTAAATTCCTTTCTTTTATGTATTAAATAATATGGAATTCTTTCTTTTTTATTACATTAATTAACATAAAATTTTTTCTTTTCTTTTAAATAATATGTACATAATATGTACATAGAATAATTTTTTAATTATTAAAATTCATTTTGTCTCAATTCACATTGATTCTCACTAGATGGATTCTAATAATTTTCTTGTAACTGCAATTTTTATCTTCTTTTATTTTATTAACTATATTAAATAAAACGAATTCCATTTATTATCTGCTGAGTTCTTCATTTATATGAATATATAATATACATAATAAAATATAATATAATTTAAAGTATGTTAATATTCGATACAAAATAATTAAATAATTCATTCAATGATTAATAGGCAATTATTATATTTACAATCAAAATTGTTTCAAAATTTGTAATATCTGATATGCGTTATATGCATTTTAGAAATTCTCTATTAATTCATACGAAATTCTCTATTAAGGAAACGAAAAAATCATCAATTAATGATTCGATAACGAAACGACGAAAACAATTTAATAATTATAGGAATGCTGCTCCATATTATTATTGATTATTTTTTATTCGATACTTTTCTTTTTTTTTAATTTTCAGTTGCAAGAATTCCTATTCCCTCCCTGAAAATTTGCCATTTCTCCAATTGCAAATCGATAATATAATATCCTTCACGCTCGAGTACACATTATATTGGATCAACGATCGAGAAATATTTAAAACGGCCACGATAACAAAATCTCCTGGACCAAATGGCCCGTATTTCATCAGGCGATAATGCAGCAACCTCGTGGAAAGTTAGGATCGGGGTTGGAGCCAGAATAGAACGTTGGACGTCGAGAAGAGGTTCATTGGCTACCACTTGTCTCCGGAAAAAGATTAAAACCGTGAAAACCGTCCCGTTTCTTCCAACCAAGAAGGTTGGTTGGCCCTCATTTCGTACGATTGACCCTTCCCCTGTTCCTCCAAAAGAAAAAGAAAAAAGAGAGAGAAGGAAAAGGAGGTTCATCCGCGAGGGGGTAAATGTCAAAGTGATAACGACCGATGTAAAAACTCGCCACGATACCCTCACGCTCGATTTACTTGTTCGATTTACTAGGTGGAGCTAGGTTTCCAAGAGAGACATGGATATTCTTTTTTCTTTTTTTTTTTTTTCTTTTTATATCGAAGATAACCACGCTTAAATGGAGTTAAAGCGTGGAAATTTATCCACGCTCGCGGAGTGGGGATGAAGAGGAACGAACTCGGGGGTGCGAACTCGGTCACGAACTCGAGCACGATTGGTTTTCGTTTTGGGACTTCGTTATCGCTTCTCTTCGAGCTCGTGTGAAACGGAGGCACCATTTGCTTTTTCGTGGTTTCGCTCGATCAAGTGGCAATGAAGTAGAGAGACACGCAGAAGCTTCAAGGTTTCATCCGTAAAACACGATTTTATTTAATGGTGATTATGGATTAGTAAAGGAGGAGATGTGGAATCCTTGGTTGATAAATTGGAAATTGAATCGATAAAATTAATAATTTGGATTTTAATCTTTTTTAATAATTTAGGCGTTGTGATAAATATAACAAGAAAATTGGAAGAAAATAAGCTACATGGATGAATAAAAAATCTAATTGGATAACTTATCCTTTCAAATATTAATTCTTTGGATTTTATACCAATCGAAATATATTTAACTAATTAATTTGAATACCCAAAGAATAGCTATCAAGAGAAAAAGCGATTTTATTATTTAATAATATCAAATTATTTTGATCAATTATTATATTCGATCGAAATTTCACATCGTTTTTGAAATAAAACTTGTTCGAAAATGTAATTGCGGCCATTACTTTCGTGGACATCAAACATATTGTTTGTTAAGAGGCGTTTGATTAAACTTTCGAATAAACGGAACGACCTGGCCATCTCATTCTCCCCCTGACATTTTTATCGATTAATTCCATCAATCCGTGGCCAAATGGCACCGCTTCAAATGTCACTGCTTCATACCGATCCATCACGAGACCGCATTTGTCAATCAACGTGAAAATCGATGTCCTACCTTTGGAAAAATCTTTAAATTTAATCATCCAGAATTTTCTCCGCGTGTTATCTCCACCCTCTATATCCCATTCATTTACCAGAAAGTTGTCGAGGATGGACTCACTGCCTGGGAAAGAAACTTTTACTCGCCAAGTCTGATTAAACGCCTCGAAAGAAGATTTCCAAGAGAATCCTCGATCTCTGGAGGCAACGAGAAGATAGCAACTGAATCTTGTTAGAACGAAATTCTCGAAAAGATTGGACCGTATCAAGTTATCTGATATAAATGAAACCAACATGATGATCACGATGATGATGAATGATTGGAGTTGAAAGCAGATGCTACTGTTTGATGTTGAGTAAAGAAAAGTATTGTGTATCGTTTGGTTGCAAGTT